GTCTGCAGTGTGATTGTTTGTCACTTGGTGTCAGTGTAAGGACAAATAATGCTTCCACAAGGTTACAATTATATACACAAGAGCCATCCCCTTCCTTTAAAACAGTCGAATGGAGGACGTTTCTGTGTGTGAAGGACTAGAGACAATTTAATCGCTAAGAATTTTTATTCTGAAAAACTGTCAGATTGTAATAACGGGTGTGGCGGAACAATCCTATTTGAGTGTATGAGTGTAGCGATTTGAAAGTTGCTTCATTTCGCTGTTTCATCTTTACGCCATGGAACAAAGGCGATGCCTAACGTGGAGAACGAGGAGAATATGGATTGTATACATTTTGGTTTTGGTTCTGGTCTGGAAGACCGCTTTGGGACAATTTAGATATTCAATTTCAGAGGAAAATACAGAAGGAACTGCTGTTGGAAATATCGCGAAGGATTTAGGTCTTGATAAGGCTACACTGAAAGAGAGGGGGTACCGCATTGTCTCCGGCTCAGCAGAGCCTCCTTTCCGAGTAAACACAGATAATGGGATCTTGTATGTGAACCGAAAAATCGACAGAGAGGAAGTGTGTGACCGAAACAAGATGTGTGTTATCGACCTAAAAACAGTGTTAGAAAATCCACTTGAGGTGCACTACGTGGCAGTGGAGATTCTGGATGTAAACGACCACGCACCGATCTTTCCTGAAAAAGAAAATACGTTGGAAATTTCTGAATCTGCACTACCAGGAGCACGATTTCAGTTACAAGCAGCCCGTGATGCTGATAGTGGTTCGCTGTCTGTCCAGCAGTACAAGCTGAGTCACAATGAACATTTCCGTTTAGAAGTGAAAGACCGGGGCGAAGACCGTAAAACACCGAGTTTAGTCCTTCAAAAATCACTTGATAGAGAATCTGTTAAAACTCATGTGTTGCTTCTGACAGCCTTTGATGGAGGTAAACCTCCAAGATCTGGTAACATGACAATAATTGTTAATGTTTCCGATGTTAATGACAACCCTCCTGTTTTCAGTAAGGAGGCATATAGTGCGCACCTCAAAGAAAATTCTCCTTTTGGTACGACTGTGATTCAAGTTAATGCAACAGACCTGGATGAAGGATTAAATGGTGAGGTTGTGTATTCATTTGGAAATGACGTGGAAGCACGGGTACGTGAACGTTTTGACTTAAATCCGGTTACTGGAGAAATCATAGTGGCGGGACACATAGACTTTGAAGAAAGCGGCAGGTATGAAATCGACATTCAAGCATCCGACAAAGGAGCAGCTACAATGACAACAGACAAAATCGTCATTATTAATATAATTGACGTAAATGATAATGTACCAGAGATTGAAGTGACATCTTTTTCTCATGCACTCCCTGAAAATTCAAAACCAGGAACCACAGTGGCGTTAATTAGTGTCAAAGACTCCGATTCTGATTTGAATGGAAAAGTAGTATGTTATATAAGCAAAGATGCTCCCTTTTTGCTCGCACCTTCTTTACAAAGTAACATGTATTCTCTAGTAACGAAACAGGTTTTAGACAGAGAACAACAATCCCAGTATAATGTCCTGATAGTTGCTAAAGACGCAGGCGAACCTTCCTTATCATCGGAGAAAAGTATAAATATTGTTATTTCAGATGTGAATGACAACAGCCCTGAGTTCTTACAGAATCCATATACTTTCTACATAACTGAGAATAATAGCCCAGGGGCGTCGATCTTCTCAGTGGCAGCCCGAGACAATGATGAGGGAAGTAATGCTCTTATTTCATATCTTATCTTAAGAGAAAGGGGGGGAGAAAATACGCTCACCTCTTTTCTAAATATTAATTCTGAAAATGGAGAAATTGTGGCACTGAAAAGTTTTGATTTTGAAACGCTGAAAACTTTCCAGTTCCAAGTTGTTGCCTCAGATTTTGGAACTCCATTACTAAGCAACAATGTCACAGTCAACGTCTTCATCCTGGATCAGAACGACAACGCTCCAGTCATCCTGTATCCACTCAGCTCCAACGGTTCTGCTCAAGGTGTGGAGGAGATTCCCCGAA